GTGGGACACACACACTCTGGGAGGGAGGGGACACTCACTCACACTCTCTCAGTGTGTGGGACACCCACCCCTCACACTCACACTCACACACTCTCTCTCTCTGGGAGGGAGGGGACACTCACTCACACTCTCTCAGTGTGTGGGACACCCACCCCTCACACTCACACTCACACACTCTCTCTCTCTGGGAGGGAGGAGTGGGACACACACTAGGAGGGATGACAGACACAGGGAGAAAGGGGTGGGAAACACACACTTGGGCATGTTTTTCAGACTGTGGGGGGACCCCACACTGACTTGGGAAGAACATGCAAACTCCACACAGCACCCTGGCCAAGGCTCGAACCCTGGTCCCAGAGGTGTGAGGCCAGAGTGCTACCACTGCACCACTGCACCACCAAGACACTCATGCTTTCCTACTTTAGGCTTAAAAAATCCAGGTAGACATCATGCGATAAGAACTTTCATTGTCATAAAATTCAGATTCACTACAGGCAGACCAAGGTTGGGCTTGAACCCATGACCTTCTGGTCACAAGCACAAACACTTAGCCCACTAAGCCACACAAGACAGCACAGACGCTCAACAACTTGGTCTCCTACTTTAGCTGAAACGGCACCAGTGCATAACTAATGCTGAAGAAAGGACATCCAGGCAAAATCAAAATAAAGGACAGGTAGACCAAGGCTGGGCTTGAACCCATGACCATCGGATCACAAACACAGACACTTTGCCCACTAAGCCATACAAGCCAGTACTGACAGGTAACAATTCGGTCTCCTACTTTAATTGAAACGGCACCGGTGCATAACTAATGGTGAGGGAAGGACATCCAGGCAAAATCAAAATAAAGAACAGGCAGAACAAGACTGGGCTTGAACCCATGACCTTCTGATCATGAGCAGAGACACTTAGCCCACTAAGCCACACAAGCCAGTACAGACACTCAACAACTCCCTCTCCTTATTTAGCTAAAATGGCACCGGTGCATAACTTACAATGAGGGAAGGGCATCCAGGCAAAATCAAAATAAAGGACAGGCAGGCCAAGGCTGGGCTTGAACCCCTGACCTCCTGATCACAAACACAGACACTTAGCCCACTAAGCCACACAAGCCAGTACAAACACTCAACAACTCAGTCTCCTGCTTTAGCTGAAACGGTACCGGTGCATAACTAATGGTGAGGAAAGGACATCCAACCTTATCTTTAAAAATAAAAAAGGGAGGGGTGTGGCTTGGTAGGGTAGTGGTTAGCAATGTTGCCTCACACTCCCAGGATGAGGGTTCAAGTCTCCCTCCCATGCCAATTAGGAAAGGGTCTCAGTCTTAATATTAAACAAGTGTGACAGCAGCATTATAATAATAATAACTTAAATTATAATAATAACAGACAACCCTTAAGCCCATCTTTTCCTCTAAACCCACAGGCAAGCCAAGGTTGGGCTTGAACCCATGACCTTCAGCTCACAGGCACAGACAACTAGCCCACTAAGCCACACAAGCCAGTACAAGCACTCAACAACTCGGTCTCCTACTTTAGCTAAAACGGCACCGGTGCATAATTTATGGTGAGGGAAGGGCATCCAGGAGAAATCAAAATAAAGGACAGGCAGGACAAGGCTGGGCTTGAACCCATAACCTTCTGACCACAAGCACAGACACATAGCACACTTAACCACACAAGCCAGTACAAACACTCAACAACTCGGTCTCCTACTTTAGCTGAAATGGCACCTGTGCATAACTAATGGTGAGGAAAGGACATCCAGGCGAAATCAAAATAAAGACCAGGCTGGGCTTGAACCCATGACCTTCGGATCACAAGCACAGACACTTAGCCCACTAAGCCACACAAGCCAGTACAGATATTCAACAACTTGGTCTCCTAGTTTACCTGAAACGGCATCGGTGCATAACTAATGGTGAGGAAGGAACATCCCGGCAAAATCAAATTAAAGGAGGGGGGTTTTTTAGGGTACAGTGCATAACTAAGCCATGTTTCATTTTCACACATTCATTGGAATGCGAACATTATCCTCTTCTTCACAGCTTAGAGGTCACAGCTATGGCTTGAACCAGCAACCTTCAGATCACAGTCACAGGGGCTTAGCCTACAGAGCCACTCTCTGCCCCTACTGGACACTGCACAGAATTTAACTTTGACTCTGGTGCGGATACGGGCCACAATTGGAAACATTCAATGTAAATCTGGCCCATATGTGGCCCTTATTGGTTTAGAATGCAGAAAGCGGATTCGGATCAGTATTGGTCCGTTGTGCAAAAAGACACTGGGCTAGATCCAGTTTTCGGATCTGCGGCGATTTCTGAACATCATTCGGCCCAGATCCGGTTCAGATCTCGCTATTTGAGGCCATCAGCTTAGCACATCAGCTGCACGTCTGGTAAGTGACTGATCATACGTATACGGTCAGGCAAATGCGCGCCGGATCAGCAGAGTGTATACAGACCAGCTGTAATCATATAGAACTCTGGACAGATTCTGGGGCAGACTCTCCTGCCCCAATGTCACTGGCATCCAGATTTAAGGAGTTGCAGGTGTATCTGGCCCACAATCAGTTGCTATGTGGGATTCCCTTCTGACAGTTTCTTGTCTTTTGTCCAGTAATTACACTATTTATCATGTAATTGCACTAGATGTTTGCTGTTGCTGCTCTTTACACCTAAATTTCCATCTGTCCATCCATCCATCTGAGAAAAATCCCCTAATATCCCATTTTAAGTTCTACAGCAATGCACTTCTTTGTTGTTTGTTTATCACTAAAGGATGAATTTAACTTCACTTGGATGTTAGTCGGTTGTCTGTGTTGATTCACGAGGGGACTTTTTAAACATCTGTACACGTCAGGCTGCTTGAATACAACAAACTCAAGAACTCATTTCCTTAGCATGTGCCATTTACGCTAGGTCCCTAACCCCCGCACCCCCATCTCTGCTCACATTTTATGACGTTCTAATGGGGAATCTGCAGCAGCATCTTCTCCTGACCTTGTAGGACCCATGGTGCATGTAACACACTTTCCTTTGTATATGTTGGACATTATCTGCCGGTAAAATTAACTTTTTTTCTGAAAGAGGGAGACAACAAAGTCAAAGTTGCCCTTTACAGTTTAATGTCACAAGGGTCAAACAGAACGTCCAAGAACCTAATGCAATGTTTCTACAATGCTTTCACCCTGGTATTCAACCAGGTGATGTCACGCCATTGGGGCTTAAATTAATTTACATAATATGCATATTGAACAATATGACCGGTGACATCTCTTAGTATCTGACATCCAAAGGGCGTCTTTGATCTTCCCGGCCTGTGAACGTGTCCACTGCCGACCTGTGGCGACATCTTTCCATTTTTTTCTTTTTTTAAATGATAGTGATTGAAAATTACCACCTAGGAGGATACCATCTGCGCTGTCCTTTCACAGCTTATTAACTTGCTTTTTTTAAAGTTTAGCGGCGACGGAGAGGCTGCACGCGGACAGGCGCGCGCCCCCCGAGCTTTTCCAAGATCCGCTGAGTAACAAGCTGTTTGCGGTGGAGATGGATAGACGCTTAGATAGATGGATGTAGCCAACCGTAAGTCGCTCAGAACGGAATATTGCGTTTTACTTTCCAATGCGGCGCTATACTATAATATACGAGACGAGTGGCGACTCCGCGAGACACTCCGCTCCATCACACGCACACGCGACGATGATTTGTAAACATCAATCCACCTGTACCGGTAAGAAACCAAAGCGATCGTAGTAAACACACTTGAACGTGCATCTGCACCCCTCCCACAGAGCAGGACTCGAACCCACAACCCCGGTGGTGCCCGGCCACCACGTTCCATCACTTAGCCGACACGCGCTGCCCCAGATGGCCTCATATTTAATTCATGCGTGCGTTTAAAAATGATATGGCATACTGTACAGAGCGGCGTGCATTAATATCAGCAGTCAGGCGAACAGTCCCCGGAAAGCCGCAACCTTCAGCATCCCCGATGTTATTAACCATAATGTTGCGGTTAATTGCTAGCCAGTCATGTGATGCATAGCTACCAAATAACATATAGCCTATTTACCCGGCGAGCGTTAGCCATGCAAACTAAGTGTGAGAACTAAGATACGGGATTTTATCATCTATTTTTTTGGACGCATGAGACCCTTCTGAAATATTTCCTTTTTTCTTTCGATGTGTGCAAATGATAGAAGGTCATTCCTGAGAGGGACGCGTGGGCAGCCCGGCCGACCAAATAAGGGCTCGGCTTTACTGGGCTGCACCGCCGCCACGCGCGGGCATCCCAGTCCGAGAGCGGAGAGCATGAAGCAGAAGCTGTCATCGCAAAAGCCTCCTGCTTTCTGTAAAGTTTCAGAACTAAGCTTACACAAAAACGTCTTTTGGTGGTCATTTTGTATCTACCTCGTTCCGCAGGTTATTTATAGCAATCATAAATTACACTTTAAATCAGTATCCAGACACAAAGCCTCCGGAGTACGAGAATGAAGACAATTATGAGTACTTTATATGCTGATCATTATGAACTAAGTATTTATTTAACATCTACTGCCAGGATTAGTTTGCTAGAGACATCATGCGTGAAGCGTGTAATTAAACACATGTCAGTAGCTAAGTGCAGTATGTAGTTGATATATGAAAGGGAAATGTAGCCTATGTCAAAAACAGGTAAAACTGCTAGCTAATGACCCCCAACGCCTTCGCCACCTGCATTAAGGGTAGAAGTAAATATTCCCATATTTGGTCGCATTCGGCTCCAAAGCGTTCAGGTCCGTCCATTGGGGTTATAAACACAATCTGCCAGCCGGGCTGAGTCTGAAGAGGTGGTTCGCCCCAAAAAGGCACTTCATCCGTCTACCGTTGCCACAAAGAACGGGTATATAATAATAATAAATAATAATAATAATAATGACAACAATGATGATGATTATTATTTTCATCACGATAGCCTATCTGGTAAGGAAAAACATATAGGCTACAAGAAAAAAAGTTCCTATTTAATTCTAGTTATTTCTAAGCACCTCAAAGACCGCCTATTTGAACGACCACTGAAGCGTACAATGACATTTTATATACAAATTTGTCCTAAGTCAGTAACAGGGGAGTGACCAGACACATCCAAACGCTCATTGAATGAAGTTTGTGAGCAACGACAAGCGCTTTGAAACAACGATTAAAATTGGTAACCGGGAAATGAAAGCAGGACAGACATGGAAGCCAAGAGTAGCGCACAAAATCGAACTGCATGTCCTTTCTGACTAAGTGCTACTGAATTATCTTAATATGTCGTGGCAATATCAGTGCGGCCGCATCAGATAATACTCTACATAGCATAATACACTGTAGGTATACTAGAATAAAACCCAGCTTCTTTCCATTTTAAGCAAATAATTCTTTAAAATATGTATGCGGCTACGTTGCGCGATAATGCATAATAATATAATTCCGGTGAATAACGCCTTAATTACACTCACGCCGTATAAGAGCGTGTAAATACTGTACCAAGTGAAGGTTTCTCTTCATTCACTTAAAGACACGAGATAATGGATAATCCTTTTTTCACTGCACATAAAAGAACAAAAAAAGATGTTTTGCTTTAGAGTATTGGGGGTTGTATTAATATTCCAAAATGACAGCAGTCACCATAGAGACGTGACATATATAGAATGTGATTATTATTGTAACCCCCAGGAATGTGTTTATCAAGAAATGAATTCCATCCAAAAGTCATAATAGTTTATGTTGATAAAAGGAGTATTGTTTGGCGTTTTCACATTTCTGGAACATTATATTCATTTAAAATGAATAATAAAACAGTCACATACGAAATCAAAGGAAAATATCAAAAATATCGCAATATGATATGATGGTGCGGAGTCCGGTGGGGGTTTAGGGAAGCTGTCATGCCGGCTGAAGGTGCCAGAGACTAGGAGAGGCCCGATTAACTGCACGTATTGGCTCGTGCAAAGATCATTAACCCCCGGCCCCCAACCAGGAGGTCCCAGCTGCCTCTGGTCTTATCTCCATTTTGGCAATGATGTGCCATGGCAGAAAATAATCAAGAAATTTGAAATAACAAGAAAAGGAAGGCCTTAATCAAACTACAACTACATTAATACTATAGTAAACTCCTACAACGGTCGATTAAATTAAGCTTCCTTCTTTGCAGATTGGACGCAGTAAGGAAGTAAATTATCCGCTCCTTAGACAGACTCTTGGTGCCTACTATACTTTCCATGATTTCCCTCATGCTCAGATACATGGAAACGATCTGCGATGTTGTGAATGTAAAGCTCAGCTATATCTGCTAGTTTGTACCCCACGGAAAAACAGCCAGAAGCAACATAAATATGTAAAAAATAATTCAGGAATACAAGGGATGACACCAGACCGCCATCTTCATGTACGGGTATGGCACCAGCCTGCCATCTTTATGTACGGGTATGGCAGCAGACCACCATCTTCATGTACAGGGATGGCACCAGACCGCCATCTTCATGTACGGGTATGGCAGCAGACCACCATCTTCATGTACAGGGATGGCACCAGACCGCCGTCTTCATGTACGGGTATGGCAGCAGACTGCCGTCTTCATGTACGGGTATGGCAGCAGCCTGCCATCTTTATGTACGGGTATGGCAGCAGACCACCATCTTCATGTACAGGGATGGCACCAGACCGCCGTCTTCATGTACGGGGATGGCACCAGACCGCCGTCTTCATGTTCGGGGATGGCACCTGACCGCCATCTTCATGTACGGGTATGGCACCAGACCGGCATCTTCATGTACGGGGATGGCACCAGACCGCCATCTTCATGTACGGGGATGACACCAGACCGCCATCTTCATGTACGGGGATGGCACCTGACCGCCATCTTCATGTACGGGGATGGCACCAGACCGCCATCTTCATGTATGGGGATGGTACCATACCACCATCTTCATGTATGGGGTCTGTACTGTGCACTGGGAACATAAAACCTGTGTTTTTGTTTGTGATGGTTGATGACGGGGCCAATTCCTGTAAAAACAAAATCATTCTGTTTCTATTAATAATTACCTGGGTAAATTATATTAGCATTTTATTTTACTAAGGATTTATTACAGATATGAATATTTATGAGCGAAATATTACGGATGTGCATTTATTTAATTAGCGAGAATGTAAAAATAAAACATGATTTATACCTTTCATTTTGATTGTTGTAGAATCGTATAACATTTTTTAATGTGAGCTATTCCATCACATAGCGATATAACTTCACATTCAAATAGCACTTTGCTGCCATCTGCTGGAGATTGTAAATGTTGCTGTTCGCATTCAAATATACTATAACGCACGTTTTTCACGTGAACCAAACGAAAATCGCATCAAAGCTGGTAAGAAAACCAATTATAAGCCTCACCAGGTGGTTGGATACTAAGATATTTGTACACACAAGTGAACCTCTCATCTCTTCTTCTGGATGTCTTTTTTTCCCCCCAAAGTTTGGAAGTAATTGTGGCGACCCAGATGGTATGATACACAAGCAGACCCCAAGACAGGATAGCAGGCCTCCCTAGAGCTATTATGGATCCGTATGTGCAGCTCTGAGTTCCAGGAAGAAGAAGTAATGACATCGGTCAGTGATGGCTCTGTGCCCAGGCCGTGATCCAACACCGCGCCGTAAGGCTGTGCAAAGACATGGCTGCAGGGGGCGTGATTCTTCAGGAAGTTTGTCACCAAGAAGAAGTTCAAATCTCAAGGGGGGCTGCTGTTAAATTTTTTAGAAAAACTTTAGAATGGTTTTAGCCAATTTCAGTCTGCATTAATGAATTTGTAAAAGTAAATCTTTAAATAGAATTGCTTGCTAAGTGAAAAGATGATAGAGATATTTGAGATACGGGGTATGAAACTGTAAAGTCTTCGAGAGATTAATTAAGCTCCTAATCACCTGAAGCGCTCTTCCCTGTCACACATCGCTGGTCCTTAAACAAGTAGCTGAAATGACTCAGATTCTGATAATCTGGGCGGCTCAGCTCAGAACATCTTAGGGATAATTAAGGCTTATCAGCTAATGAAGGTTGACGATTAGCATGACGCAAAAGTACGTGACACTTGTTAGCTATGCAGAGGTATCATGTACACTCCAGATTCTCCACCACACATTCCCCGATGTGTACCTGCACGCAGATATCATCCAGCCCTATTTGCTGCCCTCTGTAGCGCCCCCTTGTGGAGGAACATGGAATGCCGTTGCTCTGGTATAGTCTCGCCTTGCAGGCTACGTCACCTACCCGGGACCTTCAGAAAAAGTTAATCAGAAACACGAAGACGGAAGCAAGATAACTGCAGAGAAAAGGAGATGGGGGGGTATAGGGAGTCAATGACAGAGCACATTTCAGTGCTAGATTATTTTACTTAGTAATAAACACTAAAGGATACTTGTAAGAAAATGTAAAAATGAGTGAAAAAATTAGACTACAGCTAAATGTGAAAGGTTATGATGACTGGTAGATGGTGAAATACCTTTTATAGACAGATTTAGTCTTTTGGGAACCACGACGTCAACCACGAGGATCTAACTGTCAAGAAATACGTCACAGATTGGTGCTTGGCAAAGCTGCAGTGAGGGAATTAGGTAAAACATTCAAGAGTACTGATGTACCGTTACACTACCACAAAAAGGGGTAATAATTTGTACCTTTGCTTGTCACTGGGGCTGTACCCTTTTATGGTCCAGAAAGGTACAAACAGCATTAATGTACCCCCGATGGTACAGAAATGTTCCTCAGAGTCCATTTATGTACCTTAAAAGGTACAAATACCTACAGCTAAGGGTACATTTGACAGACCCTTGAGGGTGTGGCCCAAGTGACAAGCAAAGGTACAATTTTTTTCTCTTCTTTCTGAGAGCGTAAGAGCAAATTGTTAAAAATGTGGTAATAAAGAATACTATGGATGACTAGGAAAAAGGGAACTTTCACCATAATGACTTGATTAAAAGATGCAGTGCACTGGAGGTGTCACGCTGCCCCCCCCC